TGTAATTTGTTAATATTTAACAATATTTAATTTGCTAATTTTCGGCTTCCCGTCATATTTATAGACCACCAGTAGGGGGCGTGAAAAACCACCCATCGCAGGAAAATTATGAAACATATTTTAGCAAAAAATCTCATGTGTATATCCAATACCCGTTACATTTAGAAACAAAGAATATAATACTATTTATGAATTTGCCTTTCTATCATAATGAATTTGTTTTTTTTCCCTCTTAAATTAGATTTACATAAAAAAAAAAAGTCATCCAGGCCTTGAGTTCATGGAATGATTGAGTTCTGCTATTATTGTTTAGGGGTCGGCCATTTCTCTAATCCTTTTTGCATAATGTTTAGTGTTTGCCTCCACCCTACAGCTATTATTGTTTAGGGGTCGGCCATTTCTCTAATCCTTTTTGCATAATGTTTAGTGTTTGCCTCCACATACGCTCTGATCATGACATAAGTTCATACTCATCTCTTTTTGATTAAATTGCTTTCATGCCTTGTTAACCTTTTCTGTCTGTCTGGGCCAAAAGCAATGAGAGAGTGATGGATGTTTGCTGGAGGCTGAATCTCGTCTCTGTTCTTCGTGGCTCTCCAGCTCATCCTTCCTTATCCGACATAAAGTCTCTGTTCTGCGTAAATTCGGTGTTTTATTTGCGTCTCTTTCAGGTTTCTCGGAGTGCCTCCTGGTAGAGGTAGCTGCCCACTCACTGGTCCGCTGCCCTTTGACCTCATTTACACGGACTACCACGGCCTGCAGCAGATGAAGCAACACATGGGTCTCTCCCTCAAGAAACACAAGTTAGTGACCAAGTCTGCTTTAAACAAAGTGCAACTGAAATATACGGTGGCCTGGAAGGGTATCGGAAACATTTAAAGTCGTAGGAAAGTCGTATTTAAATGTCAAATCAATCTGGCTTAAACATGTATATAAATATTCTCTTTATCAGAAGATATCATTTCAAAATTTAGAAAATTTCTATGAAAAAAATCCTGTCTTAAAATCTATAAAATAAATAAAAACATGTCTATTAAAGGAATAACCTAGCTATTTTTAAGGTTTAACAAGCCATTCTATCTTTCATTTTTTTTTATGAATGATAGAGATTATTCATAATTTAATTCTTGAAAAACCACCATAAAGCAGAACATAATCTGAATTTTGAGGCTATTGCAGAAGAGTTTAGTTGATCTCATGTATTTCTGTGTTTTTTTTTATTTCAATCTATTTCATTAATTTCCAACATTGGCAGTTAGGTTTTATGGTTGTATTTTTAGACTAATAAAAACTTGCGATTACATGTATGTATACGACTATATCTTATTCTGTTTGCTATTTTTTTTTTATGTTAGAAACTTACTGTTGCATCGGCTTCAGTAAAAACTGGAAACATTCAAATCAATATTACTTAAAGAAAACGGATATTATGACAACATAGCTAACAGCAAACACATAAACTGCCACAGCAATATCTGTCAATCCCAATTCCATCACACAGCAAGTTTAACATCACAACATGATGTCAGGGTTAAGAACAGAGGACTGAGTATTCAAGGCCAGACAGACGGTGGATTACCTCAAAAAGCATTTATTTAAAAGCAGCGATGAGGGCCTCTGAGGCTGGAAACTCTGCAGGACAGAAACACAGATTAGTGACCAAATAAATCTAATGGAGGAAGATTATGAACGTGAGTCACTAACCTGGTTTACAACTTCAGCCCATGCCCTGAGAACGAGTTAGGATCCATCCAGTGGCCTGCCAACGAGATACGTCGGGCGCCTCCCACAGTGTCCTAGATGGTGAAGCACTGGAGATCATGCAGTATTCCGCAGCCAGGTCAGGCAAACAGATCGGAACAGGCAGGCTCAGAGGTCCAGGAGTCTGACGCTTGGTCAGGCAAACAGATCGTAACAGAACAGGAAGGCTCAGTGGTTGAGAGGAAGAACAGGTCAGGTCACAGTAAAATAGCTCGCACCACTGGCACAAGAGAACAAGATAATCTGGCCCTGATGACTGGATGAAAGCGCCTTAACTAGAGGCAGGAGCAGGTGGACAGAGTTAGACAGGCAAATGGAAAGAGTAATTAATCCAGTCATCAGTGCCAAGATCATTACATATGACATGAAGTATAATGTTGGACGCATATTAAATACTGAAAACTTAACAACTGTCCTATACAAGCACATGAAATTATCACCCTGCACCCATTTCTCCACACATTGTTTAACAACAGACCACATTTTTAGGAGCTTCCAGGTGCTGTTATGATCATTCTAGGCTAACTGTGATCAGGAGAGAGATGCTAAAGCAGGAAGGACAGTAAAGATGTGTGTGTGATTTTGTTTTAGTTAAATGGAGAGGTCCACTTCCTATAACCTGACTCCGCCAGATGGATTTGCTCCGCATATCCATCTGGAAACC